AGTTTTATTAACCTATAATATATAACTTAACATAAAAAAAAAAAAAAAAATAAGACATAATATAAATATTAATAAAATAGTTTTTAGTAAAAATTGAAAGTAAATCTATTTATGCCAATATATAAGAACCTAATGTATAACTTAATAATAAAAAATATTTTAAAAAATGAAAAATAGTTAGGTTAATATTATATTTCATTTTATTATACTAAAAATGGAGCCATTGTATTTTAATAATAAATTTACTAAAAATTAACAAAATTAAATAGGTATTAGAAAAATTAAAGTTAATATATTAATTTATTAGTGTATTTAATATATTTGATTTATTTACATTTATCATATAATTTTACTATAATAATTAAATATAAATTAACTAAATTTAGTTATTAAAATGAATTATTGGAAGAGCTACAGAAAAATCTAAATCTTGTGCAGTTAACACTATATACTTTGTGAAGATATCTTCAATTTTATACTTGGAAATTGATTTAGAAAAGTTGCTTACCTTATAAATACCAATTTCATCACTTTTTATGGGTTTCTCAAAGAATCTTTCAAGCTTATTGAATTTTCTACCTAATATTACATTATTTTTTAAGCTTTGACTATAACAAATATTGATCACTTTCACTAACACAAAAGATGAATTAATATGTAAGCCGACAAATGAGTCAGCATTAACATTTATTTTAATTTTAATTTTATCTAAAATCAAAATTTTAAATTGAGGAGATGTAGTGTCACTTATTAATGGACCTTCATTATGTTCCATTTTAAATATCTTTGACAAAGTTTCTTTTTCAGGATTATTAAGGTTTACTATAGGAGGGTTAATAAGACTAGAACGTTCTTCAAATCTTCTTACTACTTGCTGAAGTGGCTTATCACTTTTATGAACTAGTTTTTTTAATTGTGCCATATAGTTTTCAAATTTGAAACAACTTACACTATCTAATGAACCAAAACTGTTATAATCATCAAATAAATGTATTAATGCATGCATATTATGAGAAATAAAGTGATTTCCATACAAGCTACCAAAATCTTTAACAAACTTGAACATTATATACTTAGCAATTCCAGCTAAATCTCTGAAGTTAGGACTCAAATAAATAGTCATAGCTATGCTTAAAGACAAAAAATGTTGATATAATTTTTTGGGCACAATTGAATGAATTGAAACAACACCTACATATAATAGAAATAATCTGTACTCTGTGGCTTTCCATCGTGACAATTCATCCAAGGATCTAGTTTTACGGACAAAATCACATGGTATGCATGTTTTAAATGATATAAGTCTATCTGACATATTTCTAATTATTCGATTATTTAATTTTTGATTATTAACAACTCTGCTTCCAATACCATGAGTCCCCTTCCATAACATCAATATTTTTTTAACAACACCTAAACATACTATGTGCATATAATCTAATGAAAAGTTGTGAACAACATCAAAATTTGGAATGCTAACAATTGTAGTTACATCACCATCTGTGTGATATTGACGTTGAATTTTATTAATGAAATTCTCATGAGTTCTCATAGAACTCTGTAAATTAGGAAAACATACACGCCTTTCTAAATATTGACCTTTTACTGTACACCTAGCACAAGAATAAAAGCCAGTATGAGATTTAGTTTTCAACACAAATGCACGAGCAGGTGCATCACAACAAAATGTATCGACTATTACTTTTTTATGAAAAACAGTTAATATATTATTGTTTAATAATTCAACATCAATACCATTTAATACAAGTTCTCTAATCTCAGCAACAAAATCATTTAAAAAAACATTGCTATCATCTGGCTTGTTATAACCCCAATATATGCCAGTAGGGAATACAGTTTCATTTTCCTGTCGAATGTAACCTAATATTGGCCAAAATGTACTTCCTGAGCTTTTCATCAAAGGCAACCCATCAATTCCAATCACTAATTTAATAGTTTCACTTGAAAATTGTTTATCAATGTACTTTTTTATATTATATTGTACACCAAAATGATAGTATATACCGGGTGAAACTGTTTTAACTTTAACAGGATTGTTATAAGATACCCCCGAATATGTTTTATAGAAAGTTCTACTAGAAACCGGTAAATCATTAAAGCATTTATGAGTATTTATTATTTTTAATAAGCTGTCAAAGGTGTTATTAGGTACATTATGTTCAGTAGCCCATTGAATTAATTTAGTAGAAAATGGTTGTTGTGTTGTGGCAGGACAATTGTCATCAATACTCCTCACATTCAAATATGAAGTGTTTGAAACAGTGCTTAGTCCGATGTAATCAGATACTTTGTCATTGGTATTACATATTATTTCAGTATTAAAATTGTCAACCTTAATAGGATAATCATTATTCAATTCTAAAGGAATATTATTACCAGCATTTAACGGGGATGGGTTGTCTAATTCAACTAAATCATTTGTACCAGGCAAAACATTACCGTCAGTTAGATGTTGGATAAAATTTAATTCTTCTAATAACCTTCGACGTTTAGTAGATTTACTCATATTATTTAATCTCAACATAGTTAGATCGATAGGTAAACTATTATGTGAATTAACACTAAAGTAAAATAATACTTACCGTAATTAAACGACTGTAGAAGATATATTACTGTGCACAAAATACAAAAAAAAACACTGTAATAGATACTCAACTGAATAAAATAAAGAGTAGACACAATAAATACAAAATAATCACTGCACAGACAATTATATTAAAATTATTCACAATGAATGGCTCAAGACTGTTTAATGATTATGAGAAAAATAAATGCGTGATCACAGGAAAAACCTTACCTATTATTAGCCATGGGTCACAAGTCACGACCGGCAAACGGACAAAGCGGGGAGTGTAACCAACGTCGCTCACAGAGTCGTCGAGATCAGGGGAAAACCAAGATTTCTATTGTACGCTTAACAAGGCTTTTTGATTTCTGATATATGAACAAAAAATTAATCAGTTTTATGCTTTTTACATAGTTTTTCACTTTATTGATCTTTCTTATCCCCGTTACTCTTGACGAATTCGGGTAGTTCGTTGGTTTTCAAAGCCAATGTGCGGCTTGTATGCGAATTCGGTTTCAAAATCGCGAAATTGCGTTAACAAATTGGCAGTCGGTCTTCGTTTCGACGCACAACTTGAATTCAATACTGATCGATATGTTATATACTGTTTTTTTTTGTAATTAATTTTGTACTATTTTTGTCTGCGTCGTCGCCGTGCGTCGACGATAACGTTCATATTCATTTTTATATTTATTATTGATAATATACGTTTATATTTAATCTGTCTCTATAATCTATACCTACTTATGTACTTTCGACCGTCGACGCGATCTAATAATAAAATGACGATAAATTTTTTACGCCATGTATGATTTTATTTTTGTTTTTCATTATTATGTGAAATAAAAATATTTTCTTAACTTCTAAAACCAAACATTAAAATAAGACCCATATAAAAAATTAATTAAATTAACGTTTTAGTTTTGTCCGGTCCGAATTTGGTCCCCTGGTAAAATTTGAAGTCTGGTCTGGTCCTTAAAATAACGGACCGTGTAGAGCATTAGCATATGAACTATACTGGTGCACCCATGGTTAAATATTTAATTAAACGCACAACCTATATATATTACACTAGATACCTATAGGTACAGAACTGTTCATCGATGAATTAATGATTATTTGATCGACAGTGTTATGAATGAGATATTATCATATAAATAATCATTATATGTACTGGTATACATACTGTTTTAAATGTTAGGGTTGATAGGTACACAGCTACTTTTTTCACATAAATTGCATATTATTATAATTTACATTTAACGTAAACAAAATTGTGCGTGGTTTGACTTGAACAAATTTATGATTTTAACAGATATATTATTATAGCACTATAATAGTATAGTAATTATATTCCATAATCAATGATTATAGGGATATTAAGTATACTTACTTATAACTGCAGTCACATGATCGAGTTTTATTCTCATAAGAATTTACATCTTTAGATACTTAAATAAGAATGACAATATAATAATATGTTGCATATTCTACAAAAATCAGATTTTTTTATATATACTTTTCCTAATATTAAATAGATACACGTGTATCTCGTGTATTTTCACGTGTATTTTCTGTACAGAAAATATGCTATTCGAGATAACCTGATAACCGGGGCTGGTACAGTTTTCCCGATTTTGATAACACGAGATATCACTAAAATCAAATTTCGGGAGATCGGTTACGCCAACCTTAGAAAATTTAATTTCCCGTATTATAATAATAATAAAAAAAAATTAATAAGCCTAACCAATGTGGCTAACGTTAAATTACAAAAATTCCCATTTAGATATCTCCATATAATATAAAAACCTAACTACTGCTTATCAATTATAACTACTAGTTATCAATACTAACTTAAGCGTGAATTTATTAGTAATGAGATATCAGCACAAACACAAATTAATTTTTCATAATTCATTATTTCAGTGGTATAGTAATCGTTGACAGTATTCTTTACGTAGATGGTTTACATATATATATATGACAAAAATTGTTTATATATACTTATCAATAAGCGTTTTGTATTAGTAATTTGTTTTGTTCCTTAAAACATTGATAGTACTTAATTTTATTAATGACTATTAAATAAAAAAATTGTTTGTAATCAAAATTATGAAAATATATTTCTTTTTGTCACGTTTTTACTTGTAAAATATATGGTCACCTTAAGGATAGACTAGATGAATTGATAGATTAGGCATTATAGGTTAAATTTTGGGGTTATTTTATATTATAAAAAAAAAACAATTCTGAACGAAGATGATTTGTCAGCCTTAAATTGTAATATATTTTATTTTAATATCATAAAAATCAAAACTTTTAAAAAATTGGACCACGTATAGGTGATGCCAATATCAACATTTGGTGAAAATTTCAAGTATCTAAAATGTTTGGTTTTTGAGTAACAGCTAAATAAAAAAATCGATTTTGTCAAAAATCGGTTTTGTACAAAAAAAAAAAAAGTTTTTTCCTCATTTTTTTGTTGTTTTTCCCGCCGCATTTGAAAACTTTTGGGAATTTTTACTTTTCACCTCTCCAAAGTACCTCCAATATCTGATTTTCTACCGACAACATACCATGAAGTTCAAAATTGAAGCATTATTTTGACTAGTTATGATGTACACTGACAAAAAAAAAAACACACATAGTAAAATCAATACAATCTTCACTTCGTTCAGAATCTAAAAAAATTATATTCCATGATTTCAACTTGATTTAAGATAGGTACAAATTAATTTAAAACATAATATTAGTAAATATAAATTAAATAAATAAATACTAATATCATAAATGAATTAAACAAATATTTATTTCTTATTGATTATAATTATGCCATTCTTCAAAACATTTCCTAGGACAAAGTGATTTAACACAGACTTTACATTGAAATTATGTTTTTTTTTTCGTATTTTATTTTTATAGGTAATCAATATATCATATTATTTACAAAACAAACAACATCCATATCAACATAACAACAAAAATTCCATCAGAAAGTATAAAAAAAGAACATGTCATATTTGAAATATTATTATTATTATTATTATTATTATTACGTACCAAATATATGAGTATACGTAATGGGTCAGACTAATTTCTAGTTTCGTAAAATACCATTAAAAAAAGTACTGTATGAGCAGTAATACCAAATTTCGTCAGTTTTGTAAATCATTGTTATAGCAGTAGTGACCAATTGAAGGGTTCAGTATAACAACCAGATAAGTCCACTTTTTCAAATTTTACAGAAGGAGCATAAAACGAAATTTGGTATACATAGAATAGGGATATTAAAAAAATTTCAAAACCATTTTGAAATATAAATATTGACCTATAGTAATATATTACTTTAAAGTAATAGGTTTAAATCATTTTTTGACGTAATCAACATGTAGGTAGTATTTTTAATATAACGTAACATAATAATTTAAATAAAAATTAAATTGGCAAATTTGTTTGTTGATAACACCATTATTAATGAATTTTGATTCATCAGTCGAACAAACATATTTTAAAAATAATGGTTCTTCTTGAATTATTTAAAAATTATTTAAAATTATTTAAAACATAACACCTTTTTTAACAAAAACATTTTAAACTTTATCAAATACTATTCAAGTCTATTTTCTCTTTAGCTTCTTAGCTAATATAATTTAAACAAATAAATAACAGAATATTTTAAATACACCATATTTTTAAATTAGCAACAAAAAAACAATTTTAACTTTATAAAATAATATTAAAGTCTATTTTCTCTATAGCTTCTTAGGTAATGTAGTTTAAACAATTAAATAACAGACAAATTAAACAATATATTTTCAAATTAATAACAAAAAAAAAATTAACTTTAGTAAAACAAATACTACTCAAGCCTTTCTTTTCTTTTAGATTCTTAAGCAATAGCATTTAAACAATATTATTAAATAAATAAAATTGTGTTATTTATTAAATATTTTAATCTAGTCTATGGACTTTTTAAAATCAAGAACGAAGAGCATAAATTTGTTGTTCAATCAAGTCTTTTTGTTTTTGCATATCTTCCATTAAACATTTTTTTTT